GTTAAGGTTCATCAATGCATTTGTGCTTTGCCACTTTACCTACACCGTTGCCATGCACATCTGGCTTAGGTCGGAGTGGGACAAGCTCGACGGGATTATCAGAAATATTGTCAAGAAAGCACTGGGGCTTCCCGTATGCACACGCACCGAGAACTTGCTTGCACTCGGTGTGCACAACTCTGCTGCCGAGATAGCGGAAGCGCAGCAACGCTCGCACCTGACTCGGTTGTCCTCTACGACGGCTGGTCGGCGCATACTTGGTGAGCAACGTTTTAACGCTATGGAGCTGGAAACAAATCGCGTGCGTTTATCATAACATATACAGAAAAACGTCCTTGTTGCCCCAATACCCCTCTACACTTACCCTGTACATAATGAGGGACGTCGTCGGGCAAGGCCGACGGCTTTACTGAAGCAACTGGGAAAAGGTGGCGTAAATGCTAGTTTCGCTGAAGCTGCAGCATATGGAGACGGCAAGAAGTTCGCAGCGGTGATCATGGACCAGACGGTCTCAACTACGAACTGCGTCACGGTACGCACAATGAACCCCCAGGTGGCTGAACAAGTGGCCATCGCACTCACTATGCTAACTGGTCGGTGTACAACAACTCCAAATCAGCAGTCAGGACCTTTAAACAGGCCGCATATCGACACAGGCAGCCAGGATCTTGAACAGCTCCACCAGTGATACAATTGTCCCTCACACCATATCTTGATTCTCTGCGCATGTGGGCTCCATAAACAGCGTTGCACTGAACCCGAACAAGTCGGCCCACACAGCAGCATGCATGCTCACTGACCGCGCTGCTCTCGACCTGGGCGAGGGCTCCAGTGCCGACGACGCGGGACATAAAAACACACCTACTACACTCAACGAGATTGGCAAGTATTACTACATGGCGAGGCGGGCATTCCCAATGCCACTTTAAAAACTCAATAGGGCAGAGGCCGTCTCGTTGCGCTTACTTCAAACCCATTCGTACCCATCGTTAGCATACCTAAATGCAATTTATCCTCACAAATTCCCGATGCCGCCTGCGCTGCTTGCGGGCAGACCGCTACACTAGCACACATGCTCTGGGAGTTCGGGTCGTTTAGACCGACTCATAGCAAACCCGAGTTGGATGCGCTTGTACACAGCCCAGAACTTCAGAACCAAATCCTGGTCGTCCAGTGTGACCATGACAGGGTCGTTAAGCTAGACCTACCGGTCCCCATGTGAAAGTAGCCGGGTGACGCGTGGCAACTTCAGCGTCTGCACTGGACCATAATAAAGTTGTTCCTACTCACTCACTCACTCACTCACTCACTCACTCACTCACTCACTCACTCACTCACTCACTCACTCACTCACGTGTTTGTACTCATTGCTGAAATTCGTGAGCATAATCGTTTCTTTGCCTCACCGCAGCTCGGCAATTCCTCTTGAGACGCAAATATTGCGGGTGACCAACAGATTCTGACTGCCTTCAACGGCACCTTCCAAGTCCGGTGATTTCACAGCACCGACTGAAAGAGTGACGCTCGAGTGAGGCTGAATGGTGACTTGTTCTTCCAGCATAATCAAGGCAGTGGTTCACTGATAGAGTGCGTGGTGGCAGTGCTTCTTCTGTGGATAACATTATCGACTTTGTTCTCAGGTTGATGACTGCACTATAGAGGCATAAAAAGTCCACGCCAAGGATGACATCTCTCGAGCAATGCTGTAGGACTATGAAGTCTGCAGGATAAATACGGCCGTTAATGGTGATTCTCGCTGTGCAGATTCCTGCTGGCGTTACTAGATGACCTCTGGCTGTGCGGATTTCGGGGCCTTCTCAAGCTGTCCTAACTTTCTTCGACTTCGTAGTGAACGACCCACTGATGACAAAGTTTTCGGCTACAGTATCAACGAGAGCAGTCACCTTGTGGCTGTCGATAAGAACGTTGTCACAGGTCCCGTTAATTCGGGAGGCGATCGCCGGGCTAATTCCAAGGGCCGAAGTATCGGCCCCCCGAACCGCACCACGAAAGCAGTGGACAATTTAGAAGTGGTCCTTTTTGGCGCGCCAGCGGACGCCGGCTGTGGCGCAAAGAACAAGTCAGAGCCGAGAGTTGATAAACAAAAGCAAAATTATATTCCCAATAATGGCAGATAAAAACGATACACAAATATGCACACTCGACAATGGTTCAATACAATATGTCACCAATCAAACAATGTACTACACAGTACAATCAGCCACACTCGAAACAACGGACACAGACAACAATACACACTACAATGCAATCGCATGCATCGAACAACCAAGACACTTAAAGACTAAAGAGTTCGAAAACTTATTGAGTCCAAAGTCCTTGGAACAAAAGACTGAATGATACTCTTCCGAGAATCACTCACTCAAAGTCCAGCGTTGTTGTCGTTCCGCTGCCCCCGAAGTTTCTCCTTCCAGAAAACCTCGCGTCTTCAATTGGCCGCTCTCCAGGCTCCAAACTTCTTCCCCGGAAACACGTCGGCTTCACACACGCAGCTGTTGCCACACGTCTTCGCTCGATAGCGGTAGACACACACTCTTGCCTGTAGCTCGAGCCTTCACCCCTCAGGTGGAAATCCTCTTCTTCTCCTCCTTTGTCACGGAAGACAAAAGGCTTCGCCCACAAGGCGGAACACCTTACGCACTCTTGCGCATACTTTCTTCTTTTCCTGCTTTGTCACTAAGGACAAAGCCTTCACCGACAGACGCGGCGGAATACCCTACGCACACTGGCGTTAACTTCCTTCTTCTCCTGATCTCCCATCTCTGCTGCTCGGTTAAATACCTTCCGCGCGAGATTCCAAAAAGTTCTCATCATTTCGTCGGCGCGATACGCAGCGAAGGCTGGGGGAAAGCGCGAGACGGTACGAGGGCCGTCCGCGAAGGATGACGCAACCCTGCATCACCACGCCCCTTTCCATCTAGAACGTTTCAGGGCTTGCTCGGGCGCCGATGAGAGGAGGTTCGTCGGCGAACCCACGCTTCCGATGGGAGAGGAACGCACGCCCGGGGAGTCTTTGGAAGAATGGTAAGTTGGGCTAGTTGGTACTGATCCATAAGGTATGTAACTGCGCAAAAAACTGACGGAAACAAGAAGGAGAGAAAAAGGACAGACAAGCGCAGACTATCAACTGACGCTTTATTGCAAGAACGAGGCAATATATATAATAGGCAGAAAAAAGCAAGAGGGGGCAAAGGGGGAGGAGAAAAAACATGCGGCTGCGCTCCGCTGTTCGGTGATACTTCTGTGTTGTTCCGGCATAAGAACCAAAGAGTGCGCGAACTTATTGAGGCTGCGCATATTCACAAGAAATCTGTGTCTTGTGTTAGTGTTCCCTCTGTGGCCATACATGATAAGGAGTTAAGCTATCTTGGTTTTGTATGACGGGTGTGCTATGCTTGATGTGCCTAAGTTTGGTGATTTGGTCCCTCGTGTTTTTTCTCCTCCCCCTTTGCCCCCTCTTGCTTTTTTCTGCCTATTATATATATTGCCTCGTTCTTGCAATAAAGCGTCAGTTGATAGTCTGCGCTTGTCTGTCCTTTTTCTCTCCTTCTTGTTTCCGTCAGGTTTTTGCGCAGTTACATACCTTATGAGTCTTTGGATGCTTGTTTTCTTTATTTATCGTTGACCTCTCGTCGCTTCGTCGCGAGAATTTGGCGGCGCGCCCTTTTTGAGCGCTAGTTTTGTGACAAACGTCGAGGTCGCTAGCTTGCCGTCTTGCGTTGCAGTTAGGCCATGGCGTCGGGTCACGGCTGCGTCAGCTTGTTCCACTGCTTCCATGTTGCGTCGTCAGGGCACCATCGGTAAGTGAGGTTTCGTCGTGAGGACTTTGCCTGGCTGGCGTCGTGTTCGGAAAGCTCCGTCGTGGCGTCGTCGTCATCGGAGGATCTTCGGTAGCTCGTCGCACAAGAACCAAATCTCCATCGGTTGCTGCCTTTAGCTTCCTGGATCAGGCTAGGTGATCAGCCCGGGCTTGTGTCAGTGTACTGATGACAGTGCGGTGAAGTGTAGTGGCTGGGTGAAGGTGAACGGGAAGATCCTTGGGGTGTCCTCTGCGTTTCGGCTGAGATAGTCAGCAATGTCATGTGGTCTTTCACCCCACTGTGGATGCGGCGCGTCGATAACGAAACCACGTAGCCCCCTCGGGCGGTACTGGCAGTGTCGGTACGTGTGGCCGGCTTCCCCGCAGTGGTAGCAGAGAGGCCGGTGGTCGGGGGCACGCCACACGTCGGTTTTTCTCGGAGCATTGCGCTGGCCAGCGGGTGGACAGTATGGCGTCGGCGGAGACGGCGGTGGTGTCTGGCGACGAAAATGCGGTGGCATGGCCTCTTGACGTGGAGTATTGCGTCGGGCAGCAGCAGCGTAGCTCATGGCTTGTGGCTGAGGCTGCGGTGCATCGGAAACTCCAAGCGACTGCCGAACTTATTCGCGGACAATGTCCGAAATTGAGCCCCCTCGGGGTTGCGATGAAGGCAGCAGCTTCCGTAGCTCCCATCGCACGATCTGTTGGATCGTTTCACGTATGTCGTCGGAGCTGAGGGCATGAAAAGCTGCACTGTCTTCCATCAATCGGCGATCGTACTGCGCCGGTATGCATTTCCAGGGTCTTCTCGATTGTCGTAGCCTCAGACACAAACTCTTGAACTGATTTGGGTGGGTTACGCATCAGCCCAGCGAAGAGGTCTTGCTTTACCCTCTCGCATGAGCAAATGAACTTACTTATTCTCGGTCATGTCAGGGTCGTTGAGATAGAATAAACTAATTATGCCTTCTGCGAAGATTGTGACACTTTCGTTCGGAAGCTGTGCCCGTCTTTCCAGCACAGCTGCGGTTCTTTCTTTTTGGGCAACACTCGTGAACGTTTTCCAGGATGCGCCGTGGAACAGATCTCAGGTTTGAAGCGATGACTCGTGGTTCTCGAACCAGGTACTCGCCGCGTCTTCCAGGTAAAAGTAGACGCAGCGCAGCTTTTCTTCCTAGTCCCACTAGTTCAAGGCGGCCACTCGGTCATGCGTCTCCAGCCATGTCTCCGCTTCTTCACATGATGATCCGTGGAAGGTCGGTGGCTCTCTCGGCTGCTGCATTACGACCGTGGCGGGTGTGGGCGCAGGGGTGGCCATAGTGGTCGCTGTAGTGACGGTGACCTTGAACTTGCGAAAGTTATCGGGTAGAGCCCCGTAGTCTCGCTCTTGTCCTTGCGGCCTGCGGCTAGCTCGCTGATCGAGGTGGGTGTCCTCTTCACAGTGTGGGTTTGGCTTACGGCTGGAGGGGAACGTTCGGTACATGGGCCGGGAAGCACCTCCACCAGATGTCACATAGTCGTGATGTGGCCGAAGGGAGTCGGCTACAGATCGAAACAGTTTATTCGGGCCGAACTTGTGGCCAACAAATGAAAAGTAAGATTACAGTGAAAATAAAATGAAAATGCCACTGATAGAGGCGGGCAGAGCGTCGGCCGTCGATCAAATGACAAGCGGCAAAGCGTGTCGGCATTTACACACTTGCCATCAAATTTTCTAGCGTTATCGCCAGCGGTGACGTATGTTTCAAAATAATCTGTATAGTACGCGGAGGGTGCATGATCTTATTGAAATGATCTACTATCGTCCTGAAGCTTCTCGAAGACTGCAGGTGTAGTTTGCACTGAGAATTACGTAGTGTAACTGGGCGATAACAAACCTTGAGAAATGAAACGTGGCAATACAAGTTGATCAGACACTTCTTGTCACTTTCCCACATAGTGCGTGAAAACAATTTTAGAACAGTCATGAATTTTATGCACTTGTTTTTTAGATGCTTGATGTGTGGCATGAAGGTTAGCTTGGGGTCCAAGATTAGGCCTAATAGTTTGTGTTCAGTATTACCAGAAAGACGTTGCCTATGCAGTTGAATATCGGGTTCGGAATGAATGCCTCTCTTCCTGGAGAACAAAACACACATACTTTTCTGTTCATTCAGTCGGAACCCGTTTTATTCTGCCCAATCGGAGACATGGTTCAAACCAAGCTGAACCTGTCGCTTACATATGGCCAGATTACAAGACTTAAAATCAAGCTGGACGTCGTCGACATATGTGCAGCCAAACATATTTCGAGCGATGGACAAGAGCAAAGACTTCATCTTGACAATCAAAAGTGTGCAACTAAGGACACCACCTTGCGGCACTCCTGTTTCTTAAACATATTGTTACGCACAAAGAGGTTGTTCGGCCGGCTCACAAATGTTACAACGGTTGCCAGCATCGACACGAGCACCTGCCCAGACCTGTCCTCGACGATTCGAGAGATTGTTCGCGAAGAACTTTTTCGCTATAGAGAACAGACGCATGCAGCAGTTGATCACCATTCTCTAAACGATCAACATTCGGTATATGTGCCATGTGAGGCTGTGACTGCATCGCCGCCTTCTACGACCCCTTGGCAATCGATGGTTAGTGCAGCAGCTGTTGAGTACAGCGCACCCCCACAGCCAAGGAGAGCACCGCGCTTGCCAGCTCCTCGCCATGACCGACGCCCCCAGCGTCCGCCTTCTTCGCGACGCCCGGTCTATCCCTATGATATACGGAACGAACCGACCCACTCCGCCAGGGAAGACGATGTTCGATTCATCGACGAACAAAGAGAGTTTCGACCTTCTCTCAGTTTGCTACTCCTGTGGTGTACCAGGACATATTTCGCGATTTTGCAACCGTCGACGTGTAGCCCCACGGTATGGCTACCCACCACACTTTGCACAGCCTTCCCAACGCCTTCGCGATGACCCGCGAGCAACGTACTATGGCCCACCACAACACTTCACCCGATCGTCTGATCGACCGTACGATGACCCTAAGGCAACGCACCTGCTGCCTCGCGACGACTACTGGACACGCAGCTTCCGGAACCACTCCCTTACATCTGACAGGAGCTTGACGCCTCCACCGTCTCGTGTTCCCCGTTCTCCTTCACCACGGCGTCGCAACACGTCTCCTTTGCCACAGGAAAACGAGCAAGCGTGGCCGATGGAGGTGAGGTCGCCGTAGACGTGCTAATATCAGAAATACCTACTGTGTTGATTCTCAAGGAACAAAGTACGTGTTTTTGTTGACGGTGTGCCTGTGATGGCTTTGGTGGATACGGGGGCAACCATTTCGGTCATGAGTGCGTGTATGAAAGATACCTTGGGGCGGAACGTTTTATTTAAGTGGAATCAAGCTGCGAAGTTTTGCGGAGTGAGTGGAGAGGCACTGCATCCTGTTGGTGTGTGTCAAGCTGACGTATTTCTCAACGGAGTTCGTGATTATTCCGCAGGCGACACATGATGTTATTTTGGGTATGGACTTTTTGAGGGAGTGTGGTGCGACTGTCGACTGCCGCACAGGGACAATAGTCTTGAGTGATCACGTTCCGCCAGCACTCTTGGAAAACCCTGTGGATGGTGAGACGGCATTGTGTGTCTGTGGTAACACTATCATACCACCGTTATCAACCGTTCGTGTACCTGTTGGTTGCAGCGACAGCTATTCCGCCAACTTTGATGCCAACGTTGAACCAGCGTACACCAACTGCATGAAAAAGAATGTGTTGATCCCACATTGTGTGGTGTCGATCAGACGTGGACGCGCTGGTTTATGGGCTGTCAATTGCTCTACAGAACCCGTGATGTTACCAGATGGTCTAAAGTTAGCCGTCGTCAGTGGACAACACGAGGCCTTGCTGGTGACCGAGCTTAGAGATGCGCCGGAAGAGCATCATAGTCACAGTTTTGAAACGGCTCTTTTGTCAATGGTGAATAAGTCGCTGAGCACAAGTGAACGCCGAACACTGGTCAATGTACTTTCAAAGCACGTCTCTGCATTCGACTTTATCCATGCATCCTGAAGATAAAAAAAAGACAGCCTTTGTAACCCCTGACGGCTTTTTTGAATTCAACGTGATGCCATTTGGACTGTGCAACGCGCCGGCGACGTTCGAGCGATTTATGGACACTGTTCTTCGTGGCTTGAAGTGGAGCATTTGCATGTGCTATCTCGACGACGTCGTCATCTTTGGCCGCACCTTCAGCGAACACAATTCACGTCTTGATACTGTACTGACTTGCATAAGAAACGCTGACCTTGTTCTTAACTCAAATAAATGCCACTTCGGAGACCGACAAACCCTTATTCTCGGGCACCTAGTCGATCAGGAGGGCATCCGTCCAGATCCCCAGAAGACAGCAGCCGTTGAAACATTCAATGTGCCGCGCTCTGTGAAGAAGCTCCGCAGTTTTTTGGGGCTTTGCTCCTATTTTCGCCAGCTTTATACCTAAATTTGCCGAGGTCGCGTATCCGCTGACATGTTTGTTACGGAAGAATACTCCCTTCGAGTGGACTCCGGTACGAAGACGCGGGTTATGCCAAAAGTTCTTGGCCACATACGACGGACCGTTTGTCGTTCTCGACAAAATCATGGAAGTCACATACACAATAGCTCACCTCACGAGAAGTGGTAGAAGAGCCGCTAAAACCCAAGCAGTCCATGTCGCTCGACTGAAGCTGTACACACCAAGGTGAATCGGTTACCTCGCCCGGCGGGCTTTGTCTGCGAGGGGAGGAATGTTACGCATGCCTTGGAAGAAAACGAAGATGGGTGAACATGCTGGCTGCCGCAAGCTGGAGGAAGAATGAAGACGACGACACTGCGATCATCGACCTGTTGGCCGCTCCGGCGCTTCTCTTCGCGACCAAAATAAACGGATCCCTTCAGCAGTATACGTCCTAGGTCCTCCTTGTGCGTAACAATATGTTTGGGAAACAACTCTGCCCATTCGGATACGGCATGTCCGTATTGGCAAGTAACTTTCGATTATGGTAAACATTTTGCCACAAAAGCCAAGGTGGGGCAGGTTTCTTAATATTACAAAGCCCCATGTTGTATCGTAAGCTTTTGCTATATCGAGGAACACAGTAAGAAAATATTGGTGGACGAAAGTGTCTCTAATCTCTGCCTTAATACGAACAAGGTGATCAGTGGTGGATCTACCCTCTTGAAACCCACACTGAAATGGGTCGAGCAAATTGTTTGTTTCAAGGAATTGTACAAGTTGGCAGTTAATAGTTTTTTCGAAAAATTTGCACAAGCAGCTTGTAAGGGCAATAGACATATAACTCAAAACCGAAGAAGGGTCCTTGTCCTTTTTCAAAATGGGAACAATAATAGCCTCTTTCCAGGAAATAGAGATAGCGCCAGAAAGCAAGATAGCATTGTGCAAGCAAAGTAAGTTTTTTTGCGTTTCGATTGGTAGGGTTTTCAACATTTCATACACCACTCGATGAGAACCTGGGGCGGAATCACTGCCGGAGTTAAGTGATGTTTGGAGCTCAGCTAAGCTGCAAAGCTTGGTTGTATGCTTCGTGTTTTGTACATTGTGTTCTAGTTTCTGCTTGTTAATTTTTGTCGTGTGTTTTTGGAAAGCATGAGTATAGTTTGAAGAGCTGGACACCCGTTCAGAGTGTTGGCCAAGGAAGCTCGCCTGATCTTCCAAGCCATCATCTTGTATTTTTACGAGTGGGAATTAATAGAATTGTCTTCCTGCTACCCTACTAACCATGTTCCAGTGTTTAGCCTCCGGTGTATACGAGTTGATCCTTGTTAAAAAACTTGTGCAACTTTCCCTTCTGGCCTGCCGACACGTTCTCCTGCCTTGAGATTTTATTTTCCTAAAGCTGTCAAGGTTTTCTGCTATCGGTGAGTTTTGCAGCTACCTGCATGCTCTATTCTGCTCATTTCGCGCATTTCAACATTCAGTGTTTCACTGCGTGACGCGTCGCTTGCCAGGCAGTCCAGATGTTTGCGGGATGCACTTGGCTGCTGCGACAGTAAGAAAAGCTGTGAAGTACTGCACAGCTTCGTCTATACTTAAGTCACATATGTCAGCCCACGTAAACGAGTAATGTGAAACTGTTCCTGGTCGGCTTTGTTAATCAGCCATTTAAAAACATCTGGATGACATTCATATGATGGTTGTGTACTCAAAATGAAAGGAAAATGGTCTCTTTCATACGGAATATTTAAAAATTTTCATTTCAGCAGGGGTATAAAAGAATGAGTTAGGATACTAAGATACACAGACGAGTTTGTTTTGTTGGCGATGTTGTAGTACGTCGGTTCCTTCCTATTTAACGGACAGGCACTCGAAGAGAAGAGAAACTGTTTAATAAGACGATCTTGTGCATCGCAGCGAGAATCACCCCACAAACCGCTTTGCTCGTTCAGGTCCTCGGAGACCGGAGAAGGTTCAGGTAGTTCATATATTAAAGACAGGAATTTACGTTTTTCTTGACGGTAGTGCGGAGGTATGTACACAGAGCAGGCGGTGACGAGTTTGCGTAGAAGACCTGCTCTGACAGCAACCG